CTGGGTTCAAATCTGACCTGTGACTCTTTTAACGCATGTCATTCCCCACTGTCTCTCCCTGATTTCTGACTCTATCCGATGTCCTGTCTCTAAATAAAGGCATAACCCCCCTTGCCCCCCAAAAAAACAACGTAAAATGTTTTAGTAAAAGAAAACATTTTGAAAGCGTTACAAAGAGTATTCATAGAGGTGTCAACAATGTATTTTTTTATTTAAGCATTGAATGCATACAGTGAATGACCAAGCCATTCACCCATGTTTTAAGTCATTTAGCTATATAGTTAACAAGCTAAATCTTAGTAGGCCTTTAGGTTTACTTTTAGTAACACCTGTTGGCTAGTAAAGGCTGGTCCTCCCTCACTCACTCAGTCTACTGTTCATCCATCACTATGACAGCCTTCACTTTCTGTTTCTCCATATCTGTCTCCTTCCTGTCCCACACACAGGACCTGTCTGTGCTGCTGGACTGTTAACAAAAGAAAAAAAAAAGACCCAAACCCATGGACGCCTGGGCCATGACACCACCCTTCTCCAAACACACGCAGACACATGAAGACCCCCCCAACCACCCACCCACCCACCCCCGTGGCAGAGCGTGAACTGTGTGACTGTGTGTCACATAGAAGTGGGTCAGGAGCCACAGTGAGCATGAGAATAACACACCCTGACATAAACAGCTAACACCACCACATCCTGTCTATTTGCAGCCATCACAACTCTGATAACAAACCCACCCGCCCCTCCCCACCACCTCAACCCCCCCCCACTCTCCCTCTCTCCCTCTCTCTCTCTCTCTCTCTCTCTCTCTCTCAGGGGTCTGTCGCTCTAAAATATGCATGTACTAAATGTAACACGAGGTGCTCAAGATAAAAGCATCCATCAAGAAGAATCTGCTCTCTTTCTGACATCTGCACTCAGTCCACTCTTACTTGCATGAAGGTCAAGTAAGAAATAGTTTTGCTAAAGATGATGAATACATTTTGAAACGCAAATAAGTGCTTCCTATTTGTTTGGTAAAACTGCAACAATATAACAATATCTTCATAAGGTACTCTGAGCTAGTGACCAAGCAGATCAATACATACATACACATATATCATTTATACAAACTATTTGCTAATTTTATAACAAAAAAGTTAAAATTAGAAATTAAAGACTATTCTCAGTTGATATTTTCACTCGTTAAATAATTGAATTTGAAACCAATTTTCCACCTTTAACTTTGGAGCATATTGTTGTGTTTTTGTACTTATCTGTATAACTTTCACATCTTCAAACTGTTCTGGCCCTTATCAAACCACTTTGTGCAATAACATGTTACACTTTATGTGCACTGTGTGCATGTCTGTGATACACTGAATATTACGGACTACACTTTTGTCAAATAGCTGATCTATTTTTTATTTTTTTTAAATCTACTTTTTAGTATCTATTTTTTTTTTTTTTACATTCTTAATTTTTCTTTTTTTATTCAAATTGTACTGTGTTCACTTTTTGTTTGCAATCTTTGCTCTTTGCTGCTGTAACAATGTAAATTTTGGGGATAAATAAAGGATTATCTTATCTTATCTTATCTTAAAGCATTTTGCTCTATTTATTCCAAGCACACCAGCTGCTGCAAAATGTTTGAGGATTGTTCTAGCTGACATAGTGAGTATTATTGGATGGATAAAGTTCTTTAAAATGTTGCAGTTTATCCTCACTTATTTTAACCATTGAAACTTGTATCAATATTTTGGATCTTTCATTCTGCAGAGAAAGCTGTTTATGTGACCAGTGTGTTAGCCTGGTAATAATCCTGAGTCACCCAAACCCAAACATAACATTCATATGTTTACAAGACGTGTTTCTCTCTTTTTTTGTTTTGTAGTATATTTTTTATCAGACATTGCAGATACTATTCATTACAATGTAAGGAAGGTTGTTTTTGAAAGCCCTCAGGATTGTTTTTCTTTCCAAACAAGCATGTGGATTTGGGCCGCTCTTTACTCACATCCATGTGTTTTTGCACGTGTGTTGAAAAAACGAAGGAATAAAAAACCTCAACAAAGCTGAACAAGAGAAATCACATTTAATAACAACCATATATTCACCACCAAACACCTAAGTTATTCAAACAAACATGGATATTGCATACAATCTGTGTTTTTTATTAAAGACCCTGATTTTCAAGTGGCAGGTTTGTTTTGATCTATTAAAGTATTGTAAATGTTGTTTCATATAACAGGACAGGGTTTTCTGGATAACAAGTCAGGAAGCATAAAGCTAGAACAAATCTTTTATACCTTGATTAGCTGTCATTAGCAATGATTATTGATTCATCAGTAAGAGGCTGCAGCCGTAATGAGATGTTTGCTTTGAACCAGCATCAATAACTTATGTGTAGAAGTTCACCACTGGTCTTGACTTCACACATTTGTCTACAAATAGAAATAATTGGATGTAGTGGTTGATGTGAAATTTCTCTTTCAATACTTCTACACTGTAATTTCTTTTTTTTACTTCCTGCTCTGACTGTCTGTCTAACCTGAAAGACACATTTCATACAAACTAGGGTTTACATGCACAGTCTGCAGGGACTGTTAAGACTTAAAATAAGCTGTTTGCTTCTTATAAGCACTTGAAAATGTTAAATGTTAAAGCTCTGAGAACAGTCAGAGAGTGTGAGATAATGTTTCAGTCTGACAGGCTGCTTGAAGGCGAGCCAGCCACCTCAAGGACATGAAAACATGAGACTGTGTGGGCATTAGACTCACAAGTAAAGAGACCGATAATACTGTGCAGAAAGAGTCATCTACCTCATCAACTTCAGCTCATACACTCTGTACTTTATCAAGTGGTTCCCGCTAATTAGCTATTCTGCTGCAGGTGTGATTATCTTTCATCCTTGTTCTGAGTAAACTGATGATCATAAAGCTTCAAATGAGTTCATTGATATAGATCATTCAGGGAATCAAGTCCAGGTTCAGAGGTGTAAAACACAGAGATGAAAAATGCTTTTGGGAAAATAGTGTCACTACAAATGTAAGACATACATCTCTGTTGGCTTGAAACAGTGTTTAAATTTAAAATAGAAAAATGATTAATCTCACTGACCCGGCTGATTCCCTTCTTCCCGTCTAACACCAATGTGTAGTTTACTTTGAAGGAAAACTGATGACATTTCTATTAACTTTTCTCTCTGTTTAGCACTTAAAGAAATGACCTCACACATAGAGAATATTCACCCTGAGAAGTCATAACCCCTGGCCCTCTTCTATTTTTTTTGTCTTTAGGACACTGCAGGATTGTACAGACACCCTGAAGTCCCAAAAATTTCATTTTTACTTTTTTGCGCACAAGTTATTATCTTGTTCACACAATAGCCTATAATTGGTTGGGTGATACCTTGCAACATAATTATCTAGTGTGCACAAGATACTATTTTTTATACAAACGTGGATACTCTGTGCACAGTACTGTGAGTCCACCACTATCGTGGAGCAGGTGATGGCAGGAAACATCATCTTGACAGCAAATGAGGGATTCACCGCACACAAGGCTGAATTACTTCTTTGTATTCAACAATATCCCAAATAAACAATGCGCCATGCGGGTGAAATGGGTTGTTTGCTTTGGATTTGGGATGAGCTACATTTGATTAAAAAAAATACAGAATGACAGAAGTTACTCATCAAATCTCAATGTCCTACACACACATGGCATGAGACATGAGTCTTTAGCGAAACAAAATCAGTGTTTAAAGTGTGATGGCATGTTTCCTAGCTTAAATCTAAAACATCTAAAAACTAAATGCATTTAAATATCAAAACATTGGGTCACACCATTATTGCTTGGATCCAAAACAAGAGTGACAGCTATGTAAAGAGGAAGTCTGTCTGCAGATCATGAACCTCAAAACAGCTGACGTCTAGTTTAACGGAAAAAAAACAAACAAACAACACCAAAAATAAGAAGAAAGCCATGTCATCAGTTAACAACTCCAAAAGTCTCTCAGTTTACATGACACTTTTTCAATGTCAGACAGTCCGTCCCCTCTCTGTCTGAGACTCCCACATCAGTCAGACATCCATCAAATTCATGCTTCAGTAATTGTTCTAGATTTAAAAAGAGATTTTCTGATATACTTTCTTCTTCCCTGGGGGCGGCTGTGGCTCAGAGGTAGTTGGTCGGGGCAATCCCCAGCTCCAGTCGACACATATCCAAGTGTCCTTGGATAAGACACTGAACCCCGAGTCGCTCCTGCTCACACATGTCAGCAGCACTGTGTGGATGGGATTAGTTTATACTGATGAACACTTTACATAGAAGCCTCTGTCATCAGTGTGTGAATGTGGTGTAAGAGTGCTTTGAGTGAGAAGACTATAAAAATGCTATAAAAGCTCAGGTCTATTAACCATTTCCCATTTCCACATATCTCAATCTCCAGACAGGTTCCTTTTGTAACCTCTGAGTTGATGCAACATGATGTTCTTCTTTCATTTTTATTGTGTGTGATGTTCTCGTAGTTTTCACATGGTGAGTGGTTCTCATTATGTAAAAATATATGACAGATATCCACATGTTGGACTGTTTGTTTAGTTTGTTCATGTTATTAAATATATGACAAGGCAAATATATTTATTGAGACCATTACTTATTAACCACAGCCATTTATGAGGACCTATTTACATAATAACAAACAAAGATGATGGAAATAAAATGTTGGTTTTAAATATTAAAGCACATACTGAGATGTTAAAGTCATCCAGATGAAAATGGAAATACAAAATAATGGCCAAATACTATTAAGATTTAGCTGGATATTTTATTCAAGAATGCTTTAATTACTTAAGAAAAAGAGAAAATGTAGTTTTCGATTTCACATTTTAGATTATTTATAAACGGCTAACCCTTCCTGATTAGAAAAAAAGAAACAAAATGTACTGACACGCACGCGACCCGATCTATTTACCTTTTCCGGAAAATACAACAAAATTGAGCAACCACTTCACACAATCCACAATTTAATGCCATTGAAAATTTATTGTGATATCTGATAGTTTACATTAGAGTGAAAACAGACATGTGACATGGCTTCACTAAGACAGAATGCAAAGCAATGTAGTCAAATAAAAAGTATATATTTTTAATTTAGGAAGAAATAATAATAAAACAGGCACAACATATAGCCAATATAAATACAACATGCTTCAGACCTTGGACTGTAGTTTAACAGTCCTAAGAAAATAACTTGTACAGTCTTTTCCCCTGGTATATCCATCCTGCCTTTGATTGACATCCTTTCAGGAGTGTTTGAGACAGTAACAGAGCACAAAAAGGCGGTAGCCAGTGTCACAATTAAACAAAACGACAATAAAAAGTAAACAGTTTTCAGCAGCAAATATCTACATTTGTTGTCCAGGCTGCTTTGACGCTGTTAAGTTCAGAGAATCAAAACATTCTATAGAAAGACAGTCATCAGTGACAGGATTTCTCCTCTTTAGTTTTGGTATATCAGTTTGATCTCCAGGAGACACACCAACATGTTCCCTGGCTTCCTCCCTGCACACTGATGCATTTGATAGAACCTGGTTCTTATTTGGTACACACCGGCAGTGACACTGGCACCTGCTTTTTGTTGGTTAAACTTAGATTGACTGATCATACTATAGAGTAAAGAGGCTCTGCAGTTGGGTTACAAATCACCCAGATATCACTGCTTACTCCATCTTGGAGGTCCTTTGGAGAAACTGGCTGTTTGCAGGACTACTGCGGGTCCATTCAGTAACATTTAAAGGTGACAAATTTGGTAAAGAATATCAGTTTTGTTTTCAAATGTAGCCTCCAGTGCCAGAATCTTTGTTCTGAGTTGGGACAAGTTCATCAATTTTAACGGAAGAGTTTTGACATTTAAGCCATATATGTCCATCGTATCAGACAAAAAGGGTCGGCTGACTAGATTAAAGCTTCCAACCTTCCAAGGATACAGCCCTTAAAAGTGTTTGCTTTGGTGGAACTAAAGGCCAGACGCATCAGTTATGTCTACCTAATGGTGCATTCAGGTGTTTTATGTCTACAAAAGTCTGAACCGTTTAGTTGCTGTTCTTGGAGCTTTCCACTGTATTGAAATGGGCATTTAATTGTCATAGAGTTGTAGATGTTCACATCTCAACAAAAGCCAACACAGGCAAGTACTTGAAAAAAATGGGATATTTGAACATCGGCAGCTCTAATACAAGGTGCACTGTATTTGCTGAATGAACCATAAAGCTATAAAAGACACTGTGGGGTAAAATGTTCCTGTCTACTGTGTTTCCCAAGGCGAATAATTAACTTTCTGTCTCAGGAGTAATCAAATATGTTACCAGGAAATGCCTGGTAAAGTGGTGGATACCAGCCTGTTGGTTATGTATTAATCTCTGAGAAGTTACGTGACATGAAGCCAAACACATCATGTCCTTTAGCAGAAAATGGAAAAGCACACTTGAATGCACCATTACAGAGAAATATACACCTGGCTAAAACTTTTGTTAAGATTCAGGTGAGTTGCACCTCTGATCACACCTTGTAGTGATGTCACAATGTATTGACACCTTCCAAACCATCACTGATGAGTACATAAACAACCCAGTGTCATCAAAAACAAAGACTTTCAGCCTCTGTCAAGACTTTACGAGGGGTGTGCAGTGGATTGTGTGACACAGAAGGAGGCTGCATTTGAAAGTTTACATCTAGAAAGGTCTTGTTTGACCTAGGCTAGATGCAGACCCAGTACAACAATGCAGGGACAAAGCTAAAGTAGCTGACAAGCTTCCTTCAGCAAAATCAAGCAATAAAACAAACAGATAATGGATGTAACAGTTCATTATCAGGAAAAGTCTGCACAAAATGAACATGAAATACAATCAGATATTCACAGCCAGTGTTGCCAAAAGCTAAGGACCTCCAATATGGCCGCCATAGGGTGCGTTTGATCAGCTGAAAGCCCTCTACACAGGGGGCACTGACTGTGGTGGCGAAAGGGTCTTGGTAAAGGCTCTCCCTGCGACACGGTGGGAGATTCCAGCTCGCCCTCAACGTCTACACGACTCAGCAGAGACCTAAACACTAGCCCTCTAAAGGGCTCTCACCACACAAGCTAAATAAACAAGCTAACAGAAAAAAACCCAGAACAAAAACAGGGATAAATCACCTCCAATAAAAACTAACCTGACTGTCAACCTCACATAGAGAGAGAGAGCCAGTTAAAACCAGCACAGGACAAATAAAAACACTTCCAAACCAAATAAAAGAGGAAAACAAGAGAAATAAAGTCAAAGAAACATTCACTTTCGTATGCAGTCATGCATGTGGGCTAATACACATGCATGCGCAATGCACACTCACACACATTCAGACACACACAGCCAGAGGTACAGTGAACAAAAGTGCTTCAAGTTGGGGAAGTAAAACAACTAACCCAGTAGAAATACGTATAAAACCTTAAATATGTTACTTAATATGTACAAAAACCGTAACATGGGCCAATATCTCAGCTGTTTATGTCTTTATATTTTCAAGTAGATTTCATTGTTAACAAGTAAGGGTTTGCATTGTCATTGTTCTAAAGATAAAAGGTCGTGTGATCTGACTGACCTTGCCGGCAAAGTAATCAATCACTGCTGATTTTTTTTTAAATCTCTAACATCCCACCCTGCTGCTTCGGTTTTTATCCTCCAATAAAAAAAAGTCAAACAACAAGCCCCCGGGAAAAACTTTTTCTCTATACTTTACTCTAAGAAATAATATACTTAATATCCATCTGTTTTTGCACCTCAAAATCTTATCTCAGAAAATATATGTGTTTATATATACCAAGTCTCCAAAAGAAACAGGGATAAACTCTACGAGGATTTTGGCGATTAAAGTTATTTCTGAGGGCCTTTTTTGAACCAGGATGGGAGGAGACACATCGATTCACATGAGGGTATATTTCAAAGTTATGCACCGCACAACAGAAAATAAAAAGTTAAGGAAGAGGCCGTTATTGTTTTGAAGAGGCACAAGATTCATACGGCTTAGAGGCAAATGACAGATGCCGTCAACAAAGAGACAATACATATAGTACATCATTTGACAGAAAGAGAAAAGATGGAGAAGCATAAAGTGCAAAAGGCCTATGAAAGCGGGGGGGAGGGGGGGGGGAGTCCTAGGATAGCAGCAAAGAATACAAAACAACACTCCTCTCTCACAAAGGAAGAGAGAGAATGTCGGCTTCGACATGTGACTATTTTCATTATTGATCACACTGACGATTGTTTAACTATTTGTAATTATTATAGAAGGATATTTTTCATTTTTGAGTGGGTGTCCCTGAAATGATTCATTGGGTAACACATTTTTAAGCCATTTGATCAATTAATGAATTAAGCCCCGCGGCTCTAGGTAAAACCAAGAAAACACAGAGAGGAAAGGCATGATTTGTCAATAAAACTTCAATAATATCAAACCAAATACTTTCAGAGCTTAAAGTAAACGGGAGGTTCGGGAACAAGAGTTTTAACCTGCTCGAAAACCTTGCGTTCTAACTTTCTTTCTGTCGTCAACAATCCATTGTTAATTTTTGAGAAGGCCATTAAAAAGCATTTTGCCTCTAAACTGACATGAACCAAAAGCCTCTGCAAAGTGCAAGAGATGTAGCATGTTCAAGTATGTCACTGTGTAATGTGTGACCACACACACAGTGCATTTATACACAGTCATAGGCATATATATATATATGTGCATGACAGCACATATATATATATACACATGTATATAATTCTCATAGTATTTATGGATATGTAATCATACCGTGTGTATATATATTCATATGTAGTTGTGTCTCATTGCTAGACAGTTGAACAATACAATCTTCCAGAATGTTTTATGACGCAGGGACGCTGATTTCAGGTCCCTACAGTCGAGAAGATAGTGTATGAAGTTACTCCTGTGCCATTACTATGCAATCAAATTAAAAAGGTTGAAGAACATAACCTGAATCAGAATCAGAATATACACTGCAATAAAAAAAAGATTAAAACATAAGTTAGAGTAAAAATATGAACAATTAGAAAATGAAATGCAAAAAAATGTAATGGATTTTTTTTGAATTTGTATGTTCAAAATTTTGTAAACAAATCCTCAGTTTTACTTTTATTCCAACAGTTATTTTTTGCAAATCCAAACGTCTACATTAGGAAAGTCTTGGTTGCAAATTGAATTTTTCCGTTCCAGACAGGCCAATAGAGATGTTTCATGGCGTAGGTCCCGCCCACAAGATTTAGCTTAATGAAAAACCAAATCCAAACTCTTTGATTCTGAGACAAAACATTTCCATTATAAAATGTTTCTAAATTTGGTTCCAGTTGCACTTACTCTATTGGATGCAGTGTGTTCAGTTCTACTTTTTTAAATGTCTACATTATAACATAGTAATGATGCAGAAGTGACCTCATAATACTATCTCTACTTCTTTTCATGTCTTCTCCACTTATTGTACTGCTGCAAAATGGGACCAGCCACTATCGCATTAGCCAAAACACTACACATATTTATATATCTATATATGTATATATATATATATTTATATATAACCATTTATGTCAAACAAACGAGGTTATGTCATTAATGCTATTTGTGTGCAGAAAGGTACCAGAAGGGGGGAAAGAAAAGAAAAAAATCACATGAAAAAAAAAGGAAACAAAGAAAATTCAGGTCCACACTACTGCAATCCCATCCTTTGTCAATTTGTTTCAAAGAAAGAAAGCAAGATAATGTTACGTATTTTCCAAAAACTAGAATAAACTCCCTTTCCCCTCCGCTCCTCACCTGTCCCTGATTTCTCATTTGGACAATAGCAAAGAAAAACATGCTCAGCTATGGGAAGAGATAAACAAGCCAAACACACGAAACAAAACATGACAGACATGACAGGGAAATAAATGCTAACCAGTAACATCCATCTGCCATCAAACCAAACCCTTACCAAAGCCAGGAGTGAAAACTAAAGCAAATAACAATAAAATAACAACAGTCATCAAAGTCATTCGTCTCGCTGGATAGGTGAAAGTAAGAAAACAAAGAAATGTTCTTTCAGTGAAAACTGTCTCCTTTTGCAAAGTGGTCGCCATATCACCACGATTAATTGTAAGCGTTGTTTCAGTGGGGGGTGGGAGGGTGGATGTGAGTGGGTGGGGCTCAAACCCAAAAGCTCCAGAGCTGCGAAGGAGAACACACAATCTTCAAAGTAACGACAGGACTCCTGTGACGTGATTTTTCAACAGCTGCTCCGCCTCCTCATCGCCGTTTTTTTTTTTGTTTCATTTGCTCTGTTCGGTTTCAAGATGAGCAGGTGGGAGTGTGTGCACGTGAAGGAGGCGAGGGGTGGAGGTTTCGTGGAGGCTTTGTAATTTTTATTTCCAAAGGGGGGGGGGCGGGTTTGGGGGGGGTCAGAAGGTGGTTAGTGTGGTCGATGGTTGACACTCCACGCAATTCAATAAAGAGCATTCCAAGGTCAGAAAAAAAAAGAGTGCAGTCGGAGTGTCACTCCCATCCGTTGTCCTTGATCATGTGAGCCAGCTCGATGATGAACTTTCCCTCTTTGTACTTTTGACTGCTCTCAAATGCGTGCTCCTGGAAAACATACAAAGAAAGATGAGAAAACTTAAGCACTTTAACACAAACTTTCATCCTTGTAAAAGCAGAAGAGCCAAAGTTACTCTAAGTCAGACCTTTATCTTTTTACTGACTGTACAAAAACACCTCAGATGTGTGAGAAATATATTTGACCCATAAAGTTCAACATTAATCTTAAAAATAAAAAATGTTAAGATTTTTTTAAAGAGTGCTAGTTAGAAAACCTCCCACTGTAACTTTTAGTAAAGGCTATTAATATGAAAGAATATGCTTTAATGCTTCAATCCTAAAGACGTTACCAAAAAATATATCAGAAGTGGAAGTTGCCGATGTAACCTCATTCTTTGTTTGTAAGTTAGCTTGTTTCCTTTTCTTGGAGCTACAGATGAACACACTTGAAGGGGATGGTGAATACACATTGCTCTTTCTCCTTCCTGAATCATAGGTTGACCTGCCAATCAAACTGCATCAATTCATGAGTCAATACACTAATCAATCAAAAGATAGCAACATGATGAATCATTCTCTGTTTTATTGTCTATTTAATGCTAAATGGGACCATTAGTGACAATATGAGCCTCAAGCTATGCTGAAGACTTCAAACTAGTGATTAAGAGCATAGACTCATGAGGAAGATGGTTACCATGGTAACAACAAAGGGGCTTTTAATCAGTCATTGTAGTGGTAGTGATTTCAGGCAAGTTTCTAGAAGATCATCAGTAAACATTTTTAAATGTTTTACAAAAAAATTCAATCTTAATATGCAAGCTTTTTTTTTTTTTTAAAAGAACATTCACCCACATTTACATTTATTATCAGCAGACTACATTGTGAGATTTATCCTTCCCCACATAGTCCATCCACTCTCATGTGACAAAAGTTTAGGGAATAACCACAATTGAGATGTGATTAAAAACCTAAACAGGAACCTCAGATTCAAAGACAGAGGACTGTTTCCTTATTCAAGAATAAATGTTTTTTTGGGCCTTTTTTGTAGCGATAGGACAGTTGATAAGACTCAGATATCAGGGGGAGAGAGAGAGAGAGAGTGGGGAACGACATGTGGGGAAGGAGCCACAGGTCTGACTCGAAACCCGGAGCGCCCGCCTGGAGGACAACAGTCTCTGTACATGGAGTGTGTGCACTAACAACTACACCATCAGCGCCCCAAGAATGAACTTTCACTTTTGTATTCCTTATCCTCCTGCTTGCCTTTCTACTAGATGATATCCAAAGGTAATGTAGTAAGAAATCCTGATAAATGGATTTGTATTTTTTTAGACTGACAGCAAACTCACTCATATTATCTGCGTTCCCATATCTTTATCTAAGAATCTTTGAGATGCAGAGAAAAAAAATTCTTGCTAGCAACCAGACCACCATGTGTCTGAACTTTCTGTCTGATAATAGTTCTCTCTTACAGCAGTATGATGTCCTGCATTCGTCTCTACTCTTTAAAGCTGGAGTGTTGATGTGTCTCTGTGTCTCTGTGTCTTTGATTATCGGCTCAGCTTGCTTTGCCTTGTAAAACCAGCCCGGCTCTGCTGTGCTGGCTAAACCTTTCGGAGAAACTCTAATTGTTATTGTCACTGAAGGAGCGTCTTTAAGTGAGTCCTTGTCTTAAACTGTGTTCAGTTATTTTAAACCCTCCTATAGTCTTTTCAGACAATTACCAGAACAAGCCTCTTCAAAACAGCCTGACATTTAATCACTGTAGACTCTCAGAGGTACGAGTCTGCCCATCTGCAGGCAACCTTTCTGCACTGTAATTATGTTCAGCGCTAGGAGACACAAAAGTGCTCAATCCCTCTAAATACAACCATTAGGGGAAAAAAAAGTCACCATGAATTCAACACACAGCTACTAGTGCTTCATTTGTCTCCTCTGAAGCTAAGAAACCACATAGTTGCACAACAACGAAGCGGCAGTGAAATTAGTGAAAAAAAACATGGGAGATTAAAAAAAAAAAAAAAAGAATTCTGAGGTGGAAGTTTCTGGAGTGACTTACATATTTCCAGCCCAGCGTGGTTTTACAGTTTTCACAGTAGATATCAGCCACAGCGTGTAAACCTGTGAGGAGAACCCGCTCCTCTGCTGGCCCGCAGCCGACATTCACCCTGTGAGGAAGAGGAGACGAGGTCACAGAAGGCAGGGAGAGCGGAGGTAGGAGAGCTTACATCTTCTAACTAATGTGAAAAAAAAAAATCAAGTATTCCAAATAAAATTCAACATAACATTCCTGTTTACAACATTATCTCTATTTAATCGCTTATCAATGCATTTAAACCAAATTAAGAAACAGAATAACCTTTATCTGGGTTGTACCTTTTATGATCTTATGGGACAAATGTCATTAAGGGATTGTTTAACTATTTACCACATGTGCAGTATTACACCTGAGATTGTGTCCATGTTGCTTATGTCTTCCCCTTAAACATGTTCAAAGATTAAATTGAACTGTTTTAAAATTTTCAATAAATGAACGGGTATCAAGCTTAAAAAAAACAAAAAAAACCACATAGCGTGGACTCTTAAAGGTTTTCTGAAGATTTAAAATGACTAGAGCTTTAAGAAATTCAACAAAATATATACAACATCTAAGTCCTGAAAAGTGTAAATACTACATTTGTGTGCATCATTTAAATAGATAAGCTTTATTTGTTCAGGGAAATATGTTATTTTCCAGGACTTGTATAGATGAACTTTATCTCTTTGTAAACACACCATTCCCTCTTAGTAAACAATGAGCAGCTGATTAACTTTTGACTGACATTTTCATTAAAGCACACACTAATAGACATAGTGAAGTGCTGTTGAAATCATCATTACATGTAGCCAAGTTACATTAGTCGTGTTCAGGACTTTGACTTTCTACCAAATGTAGATGTTTGTTTTTGTAAAACACAAAAAAAAAAAAAACTGTTCAGAATTTGAGTTTCATGCTCATTGGGCATATTTTGAAACTATTCATCTTGACTGTGGAGAGACTATAGAGAGCTCCTTTTCATTCAGTTCATCCGTGCAGGTGAGGACATTGGTCTCTCCACTCGTCTGGCACAGAGCAGTTCCACTGTCACACATATTCCCGAAGTATGTCTTCTGTGGTTTTTAGGAAGACTGAGAGCCAAGACTTAACAAAACCAACCAGCCAAGAAATAAACCTCTTAAAGTGCTTCATAAATGTAAAGAGATAAATGTTAACAAGCACTTCCTGTTACATTGTAGCTTACAACATAGAGCCAAAACGTTACATCACCTGGGAAGATTGGGAGGTCAAAAAACAAAATTCAGTTAAAATTGTTATCTCTTTGTTAACTTTGTCCATTAAGCGTAGGGCTGATATACTAACAGCCCCTCACACTGCTTAAAATATTCATCAAGAGAGTTTCAAATATTTTATCTGTGATGCCTTATATTTTGTCATTTGTATACATTTCAAAAATGCAAAACTGTATAGCTCACTTTGATAAGTGGTTGGGGTGCATTCTTCATCAATGCAACTTTTGAGGTTTGGTTCGTGCCAAAAAAGTATTTTGCAAGTCTTCACCCCTTAAAAAACTCTCCAATTAAAGCATTTAGAGTTACATCGGATGTGCAAATGATCAGGCAAGCAGGGGAAGGGAAGGCCAATGTAAAATTCTTAGTGCCCCATAAAGATGATGTGTGGCCATGCATTAAACACTGCATGTTTCCAATTTGTTTCGATGGTGAGTAAATCTGCTTGTTCCCCTTTTTCGACATGTACGAGTGGCTCCACCTGACTCCACTGTGTTCTATATCTTGTACTTTAAAACATGATATTGACATATGTGGGCAGCCGTGGTGGAAACAGCAGCTGTGTGAGTTGAAGGACTAAACTAGGGGACAATATTCAGAAAAACAAAAGTGAACTAGTGTGACAGCGAGGCAGAAGGCTAATGTGAAGGGGGGACAGATGAACTCTGGTTGAATCTCAAATAAATGCACTTAGACTTACAACACAGTTCATAACTCTGGCCAAAAATAAGCAAGAAGAGAGTGCGTGTAAATGATAGAAACAAGGCCTGTATCACTGTTAAATTATTCTAATATGATTTCGCAATCATAGCAAGTTATACATTAAAGAATAATAAAATACACAGAGGGGTTAAATGTGTGGGTAAATACTTACACTGAATTAAACAGGTAGGCTCGTCCTTGACTGCCTTGAAATGACTGAAACAAGAAAGAAAGAAAGAGAGAGAAAACACAATCAGGTAAGTAGACGATACAGAGCTGCTGCACCACAACGCTGAGTACAAGAATGTCAGCAAGTGACGCCCCGGGGTGCTTTTCACTCAGTAACTGCTGTGCATACTTGTTCTTCCACCTTGCCAAGGTTCCCTTACACAAGTTTGGCCGGAGGTAAGAAATAAAATGAAGCTCAGAGAGCACAGGAGCTGCTATCTGAACACGTAAACAACAGGGAGTCTCTTCACCACATCCACTGTCATTCTCTTCTTGGTTCTGGAGAAGTTAAGCTTCATTCATCACATTGCCTTGTAACTTAGTTATATAAGAGGAAAACTCATGTATTTACTGATAACTAACTCTTGCAATACAACAAAAAAAATGAAGGAGTGTAAAAAGCCCTTGGAAAATAATCAAATTAAAGGGGGGGAGGGATTGGATGGAAGAGGAGGAGAATGATGATATTGTGTTTTGAATTGAGGTACCTGCCAACATCTATGACATTATACAAAGTTTAGAAAAATCTAAGCATCAAAGCAGATATTACAAATATTCATCGTTTTCTTTTGCAGAACAACAAACATCTTCTACCAGATGATAGAAGGAGAGACTTCAATGAAGACACTCTCCTTAAATCAATCAGTCAATAAAACCAAAGCCAAAGTCATTGTTTACGGGTTGTTCTGTAAACTGTTCAGACAATCAAAAAACTGAGACCTGATTCAAAACATCCCTATTAGCCCCAGAAGACTTGAAGCTGAACCCCTGTTAGCTTGTGGAGTAATAAGTGGAGTTAAAGGTTCCCTGTGGAGTTCTCTTGTAAACAAAACACTGCTTTGTTTACATTCAGCGTTCTTCCCGAAAATGCAGAAAGTGTGTCGCTGAGGTTTAACAAACATGTTTAATGTATTTCCTCTCTCATGAGGCAGGAATTAAGTTACAGTTACATGTCTCTGCAGACCTACTGTACACAGAGAAAGGCTTTATGGGTAACAGTAGGATGCAGAGATGACATTACGCACACCTTTCAAGGTCTCAACAACTCATCCTCCAAGAAAAAATTATAACTCCTAGTGTTCACTATATGCCACTACAGTCTTTCAGAGTGGTGACCCCTCAACTTGTTTGCTTCAGAGCGACTCAGACTCTCTGGGATGTCACTAACTTGTTGCCAGTGAACTTCTTAAACTGAGAGATGCTCCATCAGGTTTTTTTTTTTTTTTTTCCAGGCATTTCACAACTTTTCCAGTCTTCTATTACAACTGACCTGACTTCAATCAAATATAGGTTTATAATGTTTTGCAAATAACAACAATCAAATATAATTTAGAACTCAAGTTGTACCTGAACTTACTAGCCTTCTCTAAGCTGCTCAAAATGTCAAAAATGTTGCTGGAATAGTGTGTGTGAGTCTGCAAACATTACACAGGCCACACTGTGCGAGACTGCCAAAATAAATGGCAACAGGTCAGAGACAAATAAGAAGAAGCAGAGCCTGCTGAAGAAACACAACAAGGACAGAACAAACATGCAGAAGAAAAAAAAACCCATAAAAAAATATCAGTATAAGTATTCTGCAGATAATTGAGAACAGGAAATACTCTTAACAGTAACACAATGTTGGAAAAAATGATGTCATCAGTGGTCTCAAAGTGCTGAGAAATTTAGGAATGTCATCTTTAAGTTTTGAAAATAACTGACTCGCTGTGTTCTGTCCTGCTTTTCTAAACTAAATATGAAGAGTTAATAAACACATCCATGATAAATAATATTGATGAAGTCCTTTACATAAGAGCTTGAAGTAACAATATGTGACCTGATAATGACAACAGCAAAGCCGACTGTAGTAGTGACAAATACAGATGCTTCACACATGACAGTGCTGCACACTAATGTAAACACGGAGCAGCAGAGTCAGCCTGCTCTCCTCTCCTGCTCCGGCATCGTCATCCACGGCCGACAGAAAGGCCCCAATCAGCTTTGCTTTTTCCATTGCAAATGACTGCGGTAGATAAGTTTGTGGCTGCGGCTGAGGGCGCTGAGCTAATACCACCTAATAGGAGCACCAGCTGCCTCGTCCTCCGCTGACCACAGACACCAAACACCACCCGACAGCAATCACTGACACAGAGGCTCATGGGAAAAGTCATGTCAATGCTTATCACTAAAAAGCTCGAATGCAGATCATTTAACCATAATAATAGGAGAGAGCTATATTGTAATATCACCTTTGTGTGCATCTTATTTTTGTTTGGTGTATTTATTGGTACTGTTCTCTTATTGAAAGCTCTTGGTGAACTTTTTTAGAAGTGCTATACAAATGCAGTTATTATTATCAGTGTTTGTATGACATGATACTAAAGGAGGATTTTTTTTCCTAGACTCTGTAGGTGTTACTGTCTCACTGTTACATCCTCAACTTCATTGTTTGTGTTTGAAGTGAACTCTATACACACACACACACACACACACACACACACACACACACACACACACACACACACAGTCAGCAACAAGACATGTGACCTTTAGCTGCGTGAGGGAACTAGGTCGATCCCAGCAGAGTCAACAAGTCCTCTCCACAGTCCATGTGACAAGAGCTGGGTGTCAAATCTGTGCTCCAGCCATCAACCAAACCACTGGCAAAAAAGGGACGGCTCCGTCTCTCCAGCCCTTATCTCTTTCCCACCGTCTATTTATACTTTGTCTGTGCTTTTTTTTTTTTCTGACTGTGCTGAGCTGCTTCGATGTAGATCACTCGGCTACAAAAACATTAAGAGGAGGAGGATGCTTGTCACATTAAAACCCCGTTTTGAGGTTTTACAGCAAAATCCTACAAGATAAAGTGGAAAAAAAAAAAAGACAAAAGAAATTGGATCATGTTTTTTGAACGCAGACAGCAGCTTGACAGATTTTTTTCCGGGGGGCTGCACTAAAATCCTCCCAGCTCCCAACAATCCTATTAGCAACCCAACAGGATCCTGCAAGGATTGTTTCCAAAAATTTAAGAGTGCAGGGAGAGATGCATTCTGGGAGAACTCCTGCATGGTTTGCTGCTTAATAAAACATGAGCTAAAAGATGGAGCCTGGTTACAGAGCTCATTTTCTTAAGCTGCTGCAACTGTGTTAGTTCCCCCCCAAGAAATAATTTCTACAAAGCAAATCTGAAAATCCCTGAATCCTCTTGACCACACAGGACTGAAATGAACAATACCACACATGGAGAAATCCACCTCCTTTCCACCAAACACACAAAGTACAAATCCAGCCCGTGTGGCAAAACGCTTCCTCTGCACAGAGCAGGAAGTTCTCACAGTCAGAACAAAACTGCCCTCTAATTTGAATCAAAATACAAAACATGGGATGTCACTTCTTTGAAACGTGTGTTAAAATATATATGTCAGAAAAAAACATTGGAAAAAATGTGGAAACGCTTCACGAATTTGCGTGTCATCCTTGCGCAGGGGCCATGCTAATCTTCTCTGTATCGATTCCAATTTATTAGGTGACTGAGACTGGAAATGCAGATTAAGACGAAACTATTTACAAACCTGCTGAGGTTGACTTGTCTTTACCATCTGTTTCAACAGATGCCGACTTAGTCAGCTGAGGGTTCAACTTAAACGTGTCCTGATAAACCCTTAAAGCTTGCTTTGTATTCATTATAAGGGGATTGTGTTTTACGGCATTGAACATCTTACAACCTTACGTTATGTTATGTCATGCAAAGGTTTTGTCTGCATTTACATCTATTCATGAATACTTAACGTTACAAAGAGTTAAGTCTTCTATGATTGAACACAACAAACTGACATATTGTACCAGAGAAATATCAATCAAGATACATTTTTTTCCACTGTAAAACTATCCTATTTTTTTGTTTTTTAACTGTCACAGTGAAACTGTCAGTAATAGTTCCTAAAATCCCACTGTATGAATAGCAAGCTGCATAAAGTTGTGTTAGCATGACTGCTAACGGGACGCCACAGTGACAACTGAAATGAAGCCAAGTTTGTGGTTATTTTGTTAACTCCTTTACCCAGAAACATGCTGAAAACAACAAGTGCATGTCCAAAATGTGATCTGACATCAGTTGCTATTGTCACCCTGAGCACGCTGTATCTTTTCTACATCACTGTCACTTTACATTTCCATCAGATTTAAGTTACATCCTGCAGCAGACGGGAGCAGCGTCCTGAATCAGCTGGCAGTGAGCAGCAGAGAGCGCCGAGCGTGAAGGCCTGCAGTGTGAACGTGCTCCTGGAGCCGCGCGCATGACACCGCCTGAATACAGAGGAGGGAGGACGAGTGTTTTATTCAGCAGCTTGGCTTCGTCCCACCCATTAGTCTAATGAAGACCCCTCTGATGGATTCATCACACTTCAGCATTAACATAGGCGGCGTCTCTTTGGTCTCGTTTCAGCTGAAAGGGCGCCAACAGGCTGATGTTTTACATGTGAGTGACAGAAGAGTCCATCAGCTACTGTTCCCTCTCTCACTCTTTTTAAATCCTAATTAAACAAAGTTAGAAGGTCACAAAGGTCTTATTACACTGTAGTATACATGCTTTCCAGCTCTGTGGATAGATATATGGATCAACTGATTTACTGTAGCGGTGAGTGTAATATCACCACATGTTTTGACCGGATGGACTTTGTGCTGCAAGTGTCAAGTTTAATTTTCCCACCCCACAATTTAGCAGGTTAATTGATCACTTTGTAAACTACTTTGTTATACAGCTTAACAGCCTCATCCTCACTTTGTGTTCTTCTTCTACTTCTACTAACACATAAAAAAACACACCAGGCTAAGATGGTGAACATGCTAAACGCAGCATTACAATCAGATATTTTATATTATTTTCTTTGACATTGTGTTTAAGGTGTGCTTATTTCTGATTGTGAGAGTTACGTTTTGTCATACTGAATGACACACAGTCCCGCAAACATCAGTTTAGTCTCAGACACAGAAGTTTGAGAAATGTT